CCTGCCTTTCTTCTGTGTGATGGAAAATGTTGCTTAGTAACTTGGTTTTTTTTCATGCTGCCACTTTTAAGCATTCCAGAGGATTTGGAAGTATGGGTTGTACTCATGTGACTTTCTTAAAATAACTAGGCTCCAACTAAAGTAGCATAAATAATCATCTATTGATTCATGCATATATATGTGTGTGTGTGTGTGTATACACATATATATTATATAGAACAATGTTAAGATGGAGTCAAAGCTAATCTCCTGAGAGGGAAACATTTGTGTTTATTGTGAAGAATAATCATTTGTTATCTTGAGGTGTGATTATGTGATTTATGTAGATCTTTTGATTCTGAAAGCATTTGAATTTTCTGTTTAGAATTTGTGAATATTTGAAATCCGGGCCCATTTGCAATGACTGATGGGGCGCATCATTACAGCTAAGGATAGGAGTAGCTAATATTCCTTTATGAAAGAAATATGCTATTTGTTCATCTTATTTAGCCCCGATAATCCTAATATATAAGATTCAGTGGTTCTCAACCTTCCTAATGCTGCAACCCTTTATACAGTTCCTCATGTTGTGGTGACCCCCAACCATAAAATTATTTTCGTTGCTACTTCATACCTGTAATTTTTCTACTGTTATGAATTGTAATGTAAATATCTGATATGCTATATGTGTTTTCTGATGGTCGCGACCCACAGGTTGAGAACCGCTAGATGATCATTTGTATATCAGTGTTAACACTGTTGATTTTTTTTCATTTGTTTCTTTTTAGAGTTGTGATAACTTACATGTGGATCTATATATGATCTGGGCTCATAATTCGCACACATACATACCAGCTTGTATTTATTAAAGCTTGTAAATCAACACATGTCTGGCTGTGCTCAGCAAAACATTTACAGTATAATTTCTGATCTCAGCTGGTTTACCCACTTAATGACCATGGACTTTATCAGGGGTTGATTCGTTTCTTAAATGATATTTGCAGCCTAATGAAGTGAACTTGTTTAGTAAAAGAAATATTTGCCATGTGTATTTTGCTTGCTTCTGCTTTGTTCTCTGCTTGGATCCCTCCAGCCCCCCAGTTGAATCCCTAAGACTGAGCGTATCCATAGTTGAGAAGAAACTGGGGCTGGGAAATCTGGGGCAAGATTGAGAGTATGAGAGAGAGAATATAATCAGAGAATGGGCAAGGCCTGGGGATGCTGCTGGGGGCAGTGTGGGATCATGGATCCTAGACCTGGAAGGTCAGAGTTGATACATAGGTGAACATAGGCAGCAAGCAAAAATCGGGGACACAGGAAAATTGGAGTTTGGTGGGTACAAAGGAAAATATAAGGAGACGTCCAGATCACATTAGGAACCAGTCTGCAGAAATTGAAAGAGCTATGACACCACCTGGGCAGCAAACTTGGAACATGAGAACTGAAGTTCTTTGGCATTTCAGTGCAAGTTGTGCTCTAGCCAAGAACTTATAAGGCATTCCCTGTTTGGACAGGAACCAGGCCCAGAGTGTGGGCCCCCAGAGCCCACTTATAAAAGCAGGTCATGGGTGTGTCTGCCTGGAAGGGGAAGGGAGGAGGCCTGGGAGGGTCCTGGCACCTAAGGAGAGAGGTTAAGGACTTGTGGCAACACAGGCAGAATCAGCACTTCCCTGGGCATTGTGCACTCCATGACTCACTGGCCGCGGTTGTAACACACCCATCTTCCAGGCAGTAAACCACCCCTGGGCTGGGAATGAATAAAGCACTCTTGATGGTTCTGCTCCATTCCAGGTGATCAGCAAGCCTTGTATCTCCATAGGTGTTTATAGCTCTGTTCTCATGTTTCTCTGCCCATTAACCCAGAAGGCAGTGGGAGCTACACTGTAAAGATGCTCTGACTTAAAAGCTGCTAAATAGTTTGCATTTTATATAAAAATCTCAGTTCTCTATTTTAGATTTTTCATAGAAAAAAATTGTTTGCAAAGAAATACATTGGAATAAACAATATTCACGAGAAAAATGTAACTTATGATTATGTATATAGTTTTTGTGTGTATTACTTGTGTACATTTAGATATATAATATATACATGCATGCATATAAGTATAAATACATATGCATAAATATATATTGCTCAGGAATTTCTGAGGATGAGATTTCCAATTATTAATTTTTTTTAACTCAGTGTTTTGGTCCTTTTAAAAAATACATTAGTACAAAATTACTTTGTCTAATTTTATTTTTACTTATATTATGAAATTAGATCAATTTATAAGAAAGAACTTATGAACCTGACTATCTCATTTATATCTTTTCAGACTCACTTCTAATCATACATCTCCTTGTCAAATATTTAGTTTTTAACTTAAATTATTTTATACATACACTTGCAGGTAATTATATGATTAGTGTTTTAATAGCTTTATTGTATGGTGAGGTAACATTTTGATTGTAATTCTCTTCTTTTTGACCATTTAGGTAAATAATATTTTTATTTTTCATTATTAAAAATATCACCAGTGTGAGCATTTATTAACTAATTATTTTTGGGTTGTTTCCTTTAGGCATTTCTCCCAAAGTGAGATTAACAAGTCAAAGGGGAGGAACAATTTTCGTAGTTTTTGTACATATTGGCAGGTTGTTTTCCAAAGGGATTGAGCTAATTTGCTATGCCACTATTGATGTATAATGTCCCAATTTTAGATAGTTAAGGCAGCCTGAGCACACATGAGAAGTATAATTACATTTCTACCCCAAAGCCTGGCTGTATAGATAGCTCTCCTCTCATACATAAACTTAATATGTGGACATTGAAATTATAGAACTGATAAGGCAGGGCAGCTAATTTGTTCTTCAGAACTTGGAGCCTTAAAGTTAGGGCTTTGGAGTTGGAGACTATGCTGTGTTGACGTGGAGCCCCCTTTTGGACAAGTGTGGTACTGTGATCTCTGTCACCGAGGCCGGAGCAAAGGGAAAGGGGGATGGGTCCCAGCATTTCTGCCAGTGAGGTTATCAGGCCTTTGAGGAATTCTGGGCAGCTTCTTGGATGTTAGGAAGGGTGGGGGCATTCTGGAGTCGGCATAGAACGAAGGAGGGCATGTCCAGTGGGCACGCTGGAGTCACCGGTCATTGAGCCACGTACCTCCTGGGTAGCTGCTAACCAAAGGTCTTTCTTATTGAAAATGTCAGCCCAGGAGTGCTGGGGTGATTTCTTCCTTTGTAACAGAATTGTTAATTTTATAATAGAAGTGGATTGAGATGACAGACTCTGTAGAATTCTGTTCATTCTATAAGGATATAACTTGCCTGGCTTATAAAGGTTCCTTTGCCCTGTTTCTGACAGGGGAAAACTTAGAACTCCCCCTGAGAACTAAACTTCTGTCATCGCTCTCATGCATGCTGACACAGCATCGTACCATTGCCAGCTTCTCCAGTGACTTGCAAACATTCTGTAACCTAAATACAGAACATGTAACCGCATGTTACAGAACTGGGCCAGGAGGGTGCTGCATGCAGTTCAGACAGGCAAAGCGGAATGACAATGAAGCCATCAGTGTTTGGTTTGTTTAAAAATTATCATGTGGATAATTGTTACCATAAAAGTCATAAAGTTACATGGGAGTTGAGATAAAAAACATTGTTTTAGTTTCCAGGTGCCAAGGTAGAAGTCAGTATTGATGGGCAGAGAGAGGCAGGGAGCATCCACAGGCTAGCAGTGGCAAGGGAGAGACGCACCATGACCCGATTAGGGATTTATTCTTTTTTTTTTTTTTACTGTCAGTTGACTTTTTCTTTTTGGTGGTCAAAGATATATAATGAAGTTTGCCATCTTAATTAACCATTTTTGTTGTTGTTAATCCTCACCTGAGGATATTTTTTCCAATGATTTTTAGAGAGAGAGGGAAAAAGGAGGAAGAGAGAGCGCGAGAGAAATATTGAGGTGAGAGAAACACATCAATTGATTGTCTCCTGCACGCACCCCAACCAGGGCTGGGGATTGAACTTGCAACCCAGGCATGAACCCTTGACTGGGAATTGAACCCATGACCCTTCAGTGCACAGGCTGGTGCTCTACCCAATGAGGAACAACTATCAGGTCCATCTTAACCATTTTTAAGCATATAACTCAATGGTATCAACCACATTCACAATGTTATGCAACCATCACCACTATTTCCAATACTTTTTCATTACTCCAAACAGAAATGCTATACGTTAGGGATTTCTTTTATAATTGGTTATCTCAGAACTTTTTCTGGCTTCAAGAAATGCAGACATATGCCATATGTTAGAGCTGATTCTGCTAGGTATATGTCTTTTGTTAACCAGTTTCCTCTCATCCTTCCTAATGTTGCTTGCTTGGCTGAAAAGGGTGCTCGTCCAAGTAGAGGAGGGGAGGAGAATGTTCTCTCAAGGGCCTATGAGGATCTGTGTTCCTCTGTTGAAATCCTCAAATCAATGCTATTTATAGGAGAACACAGGTAGTCTTGCTTATTTAATGTATTTTAAGATTAAAAAGCAATATTTTTGACAAGTTAGAAAAAATTTAAGAACTTGTCATCACTTTGACCACAAAAATGGTTTATATTTTTCATATTTCTTTTTGGTCTTTTTTTCATGTTTTTGACATGGTTGATAATGATGGACCTAATGATATAAAGTAACTGATTTTTTTCATCTAAAATATCATTTACAAGTTTTTATTTTGCTCAATCGTCTTCATAGCAAGAGGCCCAGATATGCATGTGGCTTAATTTGCATAACCATACTACCTTCTTTAACAGTTAGGTTGCCCAAAATGATAACTATTATAAATGAATATCTGCAAACATCTTCCTTCTATAGTTTAACCTCTTCATCTTATTCTCATGAGAGAGAGAGAGAGAGACAAACACAGTGCTCACCTATTTCTTGTGGGCCATGGCTCCCATATCTTCCGTGAAGATTTGGCACAATCGGTGCCCTGTTTTTGTCATTATGGTAGACATCAGTTGGTTGACAAATGTTTGGTTTGGTTACAGGTTGTGAAGATCTTAGAGAAGCACGACCCCTTGAAGAACACCCAGGCAAAATACGGGTCCATCCCTCCCGACGAGGCCAGTGCAGTGCAGAATTATGTAGAACACATGCTCTTCTTGCTGATTGAAGAACAAGCCAAGGATGCTGCCATGGGGCCGATTCTGGAATTTGTGGTCTCTGAGAACATAATGGAGAAACTCTTCCTTTGGAGCCTGAGGCGGGAGTTTACTGATGACACCAAAGTCGAGCAGCTAAAGATGTACGAGATGCTGGTCACCCAGTCGCACCAGCCTCTGCTGCACCACAAGCCCATCCTGAAGCCCCTGATGATGCTGCTGAGCTCTTGTTCGGGAACAGCCACCCCCGCTGTGGAGGGGAAGCTGGTTGTCCTGCTCAACCAGCTCTGTTCCATCCTTGCCAAAGATCCGTCCATCCTGGAACTCTTCTTCCACACGAGTGAGGACCAAGGGGCGGCCAACTTCCTCATCTTCTCCCTTCTAATTCCCTTCATTCACCGAGAGGGGACCGTGGGTCAGCAGGCCCGGGACGCTTTGCTTTTCATCATGTCTCTCTCTGCTGAGAACAGCATGGTGGCCCGTCACATCGTCGAAAACACCTACTTTTGTCCTGTAAGTCCCACTCCCCTCATTGCCATGCTTTCCACCCAGTCCTCTTTCCTTTCTTGTGCTGGTGATAAATACTTTATTAGTCCTTTTCAGCCAGTTGTACTTGGCACCTTCTTTGGAAAGATATTTACAGGATATCTTTGGGAGGGGCCAGGGCAATCTTAAATCGAGATGCTATTTGGTTGAGCAGTGTCAGCTCAAAATATGGAACCTACATGTGTAACCGTGTCTTGGTTCACTTCTGTGGGGTTAGAAACTATTTTAGTTTTCTCTAAGAGCATGGCCCGAGCAATTGGTAAGACCTGCTCTTTTTGTATTTTTAGCTTCTCAGGTTTATTGTGCACCAACGGATCATGGCATGTGGTGAGACCCCTCACAGCTGGTCTCACAAATTAATTTGTTTCTCAGCAAGATAATGACCATAATTGTGGATACAAAGCACCGACTTTATTTTTTTAAAAATAAGTACCTATTTGCAGTTGGAGGTAGTTAGAAAGACTCTATTCTGTATCGTTTCTTAACCATTGGTATGGTGAGAAGTAACGTGTAAGGTCGCTTGCAGATGGTGGAATAGCCCAGGTCCAGTCCCAGTTCCAGAAAATAATGGGAGCTGTCTGGGACTCTTGAGGTGCCTCAGGGCTCTGGTCATTATTTTGGCATTAGTGTTGGCTTTGGAAGGAAGATTCAGAGGACAGATTTGTATCTTCTTCTGGCCTGTCAGTTATGTTGGGCAACAGCTATTTTTATTTTCTCAACTCAGTGAACATTTCTGGTTTATTTCCATTGTCTGTTCTTTTTACCAGTTGCATCGTTGTATTTCTTTATAAACTATAGTGCCTTAAATATGCCTGATTCTGCTGGCAGACTGCGTAAGACCATTAGTAATTTTTTTTTTCCTTTTGGAACAGGCCAGGCAAGTTGACATAAGTAGATTAGATTCATTGTTAATTAACACTATATGGGTAGTTCTTGAACAGGCATGAGGGCACTTAGAGGGCATTTAGAAATGTATGTGGGGTGTGTTTGGTTGTGATAGGGGCATGTGGTGGCTGGGGAGGAATGTAGTGTGAGGGGGCCAGGGATGCTGTACAGCAGTTTGTGGAATGGTCTTGCCCAGTAAAGAGCTGACCTGCTTGAAATGCTAGTAGCAACCCTAGTGAGTAATACAGTGTATTTTGCTTTGAGGTCCAAAAGCAGTAATTTTCTTTATACTACTAAATTCCTATTTCTACTAATAAACCAGAGTCACCTCATACCTGGTGAATATTTATTTCAGGCCAACAGATAAGTAAAATTTTTTGAAAAATAGAATTTCAGTTAAAAAAATTGAGGATACGAAGTATCTCTTCCCTTCTGGATTCTGACCAATGGAATAAGAGATTGTACAAAGATTGATAGTCACATGGGAAGTGAAGAACTGATTCGTTCATCTGTCCAACATACTAAGTTTCTCTTTCTTTGAGCTGTCTGAAAAAATGTTTATCTTCTACTACAACAACATTGCTCACATCCAGCTCCTCCTTTTTATTCTCATTCCTACCATCTTTGTGTTTAGACCCTAATGTGTCTCCCTACTTTCTTAGCATCTACCAAATTCACCATCTTACATTGTCAGATTATACTCCTAAGAGAATTCTGATTTTGCTGTTTTATGGCTTACATTTCTTCAAGAGCACTCCAAACTGGATATAGCAATTGTAGCAAGCAGAATAATGCTCCCCCCCCTCCCACTTCAAAGCTGTCTACATCCTAATTCTTGAACCTATGCACATGGCTAGTAAGAGATACAGTCAGAATTTGAACCTGGTTAGTTTACCCATGTGTTTAGTCACTACTTTGTACTTAAGTAATAAAATATCAAGACTTATATTTTTGCACCAACCATAATTATAAAGCACCAACCATAAAGAAAAGACTGGAATTAAGAACAAAAAAACACAGACTGGGAGAAGATATTTGCAACACACATAAATACAAGTAATTGGTACCCATAATATACAAAAATATTTGTAGTGCTACAAATTAATGAGAAAACATTAGAAAAATGGGCAAAGGATGTGAATGAACAATTCCCAGAAGACGCCCAAAGCCCATAAACATATGAAAATATGTGTATCTTTCCTAGCATTGGAAATGCAAATCAGTTCACAAAGAGACATCAGATACTGCTTATCTGAGTTGTGAACTGTCGGACATCTGGTAACACCAAGTGTTGTCAAGGGTGTGAAAAAACAGGAACTCTTGAGAATGTAAACTGGGACAATAAATCAGGAGAGCAATATGGCAATATTTAATACAATTGAATATTTGTGTGCCATGTGACCCTGCATCTTCTAGATATCCCCTTAGGGAAGTCTGGCACATGTTTGCAAGGATACATGCACAAAGATATTCAATAGAATACTGATTTGAGGAAGAGAAAAATAGAAATATATTAAAGGAAAGATAAATAGACTGTCTTGTTCTAATAAGGGATGGGGAACCTATATCTCTGCCATTGGCCATTTGGATATTTATAAAATCATTCGCAGGCCATACAAAATTAGCAACTGAAAAATTAGCCTGCAGCCCAGCTGGTGTGGCTCAGAGGTTGAGCATTGACTTATGGACCAGGAGGTCATGGTTTGATTCCCGGTCGGGACACATGCCTGGGTTGTGGACTTGGTCCCTAGTTGCGGGTGTGCAGGAGGCAGCTGATCAGTGATTCTCTCTCATCATTAGTGTATCTCTCTCTCACTCTCCCTTCCTCTCTGAAATCAATAAAAATATATTTTAAAAATTAGCCTGCTATATTTGGTCAAACATTTAATTATTCAGGGTCAGACAAAATGATTTCGTAGGCCTTATACTGCCACAGGCCGGTCATTCTGCACCCCTGTTCTACATAATGAATTACTATACAGAATTCAAAATGAATGAATTGCATGTATAGTGTACATGTAACTATATATGTGTGAATACCTACAAGTCTAAAAACATGTTAAGTAAAAATACAAGTAGCAAAAGGTTACATATAGTATGTTAGTAAATTCACAAAGTTTTAAGACATAAGGTATGCTGTTTTTTGGGTACATGTGAATACAGTAAAAGTACAAAAACAAGTACTGGAATATGTTCTCACTTCAAGACTGTGGTTGCTTTTGGGGGTGAAGGAAGGAGAACGGAGGGTAGTGGGGTTGGAGTAGGGTTTAGCTCTATTTGTTAGATTTTATTTTTTGATAAAAATAAAGAGTGCCCTGAAGAAATGATGTGCAAACATTAAAATCTGTGAAATTTTGGGATAGTTTCTATCCTGTTATATTATATATGTTTGTAACATTTCATACTTAAACATTTAAATTTATTAGGACTAGAATAGAGCATATTTTTAATGTTTAGATTTTCACTTATGTTGTAAGCAGATTTTACTGAGTAATTGTTGCTTTTATAAAACTGTATTTTCAAACACTGTCGAGTTCATTAAAGTTGGAGGAAAAACAACGTCTACAGCTGACATTATTTTCTAGAATGGAACACAGAGCTGCTGCATTGTGTTAAGTTGCCCCTCAGGATGGATCCCATAATCTCATTTGTCCCCAGTTTTCTATAATTACATCTGACAACATAATTTTTAAAAAAGGGGGCCTCTGTATGTTGAGTATAAAAGCATCCTCTATTAACCACCCAGCTAAGGACCACAATTGACAAAAGGCTTTCTCTAATTAGTATGATTGTCAAAGTGTGTTAGCATCAGGTGTGGGGAAGAGTAATGACTCTTTCCGGAAACTAGACCACTGTTGGAAACTCCTGCTGTTGTCATTGATAGGAAGAGCTTGCTGGTTCCGCCACCGCTCATCTCACGATGTGCTTTTTCCAAGAAAAGGAGGATGAGAATACCCTAGGGAACAATTTAGAGCCAACAAATGATTGGGAACTCTATGACCCTGTCTTCTTTTGATTTTTTTTTTTAACAAATATTAATGATTAAGCCCTTGTCACTTGTTACTGATTGGCAAAAGTAGGAAGCAGCCTATACATAAATTCAGAAAGGCAAATTGAAATTTTGCAACCTTTAGGTACACAGCCGTAGGTAGAACATTATTTATCCCATATCTAAAATTTATGAGGCTTTTTATGTTGGCAAGGTGTATCAAATGGTCCCTACCAGGTGTTCTGCTGCTAGCTTCAGACTAAAGCCATCTGCTAAAAAATCTTTTTGTTTTTGCTAAAATTAGCTGGGTAGTGTTAAATGTTTTGTGTTAAAGATGGACCTTCCCTGGCTTGTTTTGTGCTCTGGGCACATCACCTTTCTTCCCTCCAGTGGGAACATCGGTATGTGTCAACCATGATGGTCACCTTTTCACATGCGTTATTTTCTTTAATTCCCACAGCAACTCAGTAAAGAAACTGAACCCTAGAGGACTTAATCACTGCCTGTAAATGGCTGAGGCAGGTTCAACAGCTGCGTTAGTCTGATACTAAAATCCATGGTCTCAACCACTACCATGCTTTCAGGGAAGTGGTGCTGTTTAAATTATCCGTTATTATCCTTATAGTTTTATATGGTGATTATTTTCTTTTAAGGAGACTCTTGAAAGAAAATAAATTAAAAATATTGGGTTAATACTTAATGTGTTAGGAACAAATATGTCTTATAATTACTTTTGTGTGGCCAGGATCAATGCAAGGCTAAAATAGTGGATGGGTATTTTATTTTTAATTAGCTGTTGAATATCTATATATTTTTAAATTAAGTTAAAAATGAAATTTAAAAGTAAATGGATAGTGCCATTAAACTCTTGGAAAAATTATCTACAAACCTGTTGCCTCTTCTTTTCCCTTGTCCTGTTCCCACAGCACCCTCTGGTTCCCTTTGTGGACCAATCGTCTTTCTTGCATTTATTAGTTTATCACCTTTCTTCTCCTTCTCTCTTGGGCTGGCTTGTTCACTTCTTTCTCCAGCACCTGGGCCACAGTCAGTGTTTTAGAAATATATGTGGATTGGGTGAATGGATCTGAACTCTGAGCAGTCTTAGAAAGGAGGATCTAAGTATTCAGCAGTAAAGATTTGGAATCTTGTTCTTAAGACTATGTAATACTAGTTCTGGCTTGTGCGACTCAGTTGGTTGAGCATCATCCTGTGCACCAAGAGGTCACCAGTTTGATTCCCAGTCAGGGCACATGCCTTGTGTTGCGGGTTCAAACCCAGTAGGGGTGTGCAGGAGGCAGCTGATCTATGTTTCTCTCTCTCTCTCCCTCTCCCTTGCTTTCTCTCTAAAAAATCAATAAAAACCTATTTAAAGGAAAGATGTGATACTCTTTATTCTGCAGAATATTTTCTTCCATGTTTCTTTGCCTGAAGAACATAGCAGAGATGTTCGCTAGCCCCACGTATAGTGGCAAGAACCTGGTAGTTCTCTGTTCCAATCGCCACACTGCACTGTCTCTAGAGACAGGCTTCTGTTCCCATCTTAGCCATGCCTTTTCCAAGAATACGCTTTAAAAAAGTGAATATTAGGTATGTGTTATTTTTAATTACTGTCACTGATGTATGTAATTTGAAGATTAATGTTGCTGTAATTATATTGATATACTAAATAGTTATTCCCAGCTTTTTAGTCAGACAAATTAAGCCTGTCTTTATGAATTCATTTTCAGAGTCTCAAAGTGGTTAAGGAATCGGGCGTATGCAGAATTAAAGCCTTTGTTCTGTGGTTAATTTAGCATGAGTTAGCAAATGTAATTGATTTTTAAAATGTGGCATCAAGGTTAGATTTCCCTTCAAGGAGAACTTTTGGTCTCTGTTCTCTCTTGGTAGAAGATTCTAATTTATTACAGACAACTCACTCGGGTCACATTTACAACGGGAGTTAAAGTGATTGGTTTGGGTGTGTAGATAAGGAGTTAAGTACTTTAAATAGGGGACAGTCTCCTTTGGGAACACAGATGCTTTGATTATGAAAAAGAGATAAATGCATTATCTTGTTTACTGTTGTATTTCCTGTACTTACCCTAGTACCTGGCCTGAAGGTGCTTAGTAATTCTTTTTTAATGAACGAGTGAATGAATGGGTGAAAAAAGGTCATTAGGAAAAAGGACAGAGAAACAGACATAATCTTTTGGTTTCTCAAATATTGAAATGGTTCGCTTCTTTCTCTCACTGCCCTTCCTACTCCACTGTGGGCTCCCACTCCATGTGACCCCCAAACCCTCCTTCCCGAGGCATCATCTGGTTTCTCTGCGCTAAGACCTTCAGGTTCTCATTTCTCAGGCCAGGCCTGTACTCTATTGTCCAACTGGGTGTGTTTCTCACGGGAAGCACTGTTGGCCTCTGCTACTCCATATACCTGCCTGCACAAGTCATCCACACACCAGTGAGGACTGGACTGGACAGGTGACACCAGGTGAGACGGAGCAGACAGCCGTAAACTAATAAATGCAAGACCGACAGGTGCTACACAAAGGAATACAGAGGATGCTGTGGGAACAGGACAAGGGAGAAGGAGGGGCAACAATGAGGTTATAGATCATTTTTCCAGGTTCAACATACCTGGACCCCCACCACCTCCTCTGACTTTCTGATGTCAGGCACTATGGGTTACTTTATCATATCTCATCTGCATAAACCTCCCTTCCCTCTCCCTCTGGTCTGTATGGCTTGAGGTACCATGTACATGTGGATGGTTCCAGATCACCATCTCTAGCCCAGATCCTTCTCTAAGCATCAAGTCCATACAGCTGCCTACTGGGCTCTCTAGTGGATGTCCCTCAAGCTCTTTATCTTGGCCTACAGAACCCTGCAGGGTCTGACTCCTGCTTACCTTGACGGCTCTTTCCACCTCTGATTCTACATTCCAGTAGCACTGCACTGCTCTTCGTTCCTGGAACATGCCATTTTTCCTTCTTCCTTTGAGCTTTTGTACACACTCTGCTTAGAACATTCTTCCATTCAACACTCTTTTTTGGCCATCTACTGTTTATTCTTTAGCAGCTTGGGCGTCACTTCTTCTGAGACCATTCCCTGCTCCCCCACCCCAAGTCTGGATTAAGGGCCTTTTGTATATCCACAGCACCATGCATTTTCTATCATGTTTCTGAACATTTATTACACTATTATAATTGCTGATTCATCTCTTATTAGACTCTGAGATCAATGAAAACTTCGCTGTTTCTTTCCTGGGCCTAAGTTAGGATTGAATGTTTTCTTGAATGTTTCTAGCCCATCTGAGTCCCTCATAACCTCAGGGATTAGAGGAACGCCTTTTATAGGTAACTTCTTGCTTCTGTTCCGTGCTATTCCTCTGCCTGATCAGGATCTCTGAGGTGCTGTTTGGCGATCATCACTTCCCAACTGTGACAGCCCTAGTTTCCCTCAGATTATGCTGCACAAGGTAAAATCAACAGGCTCACAGCACAAGTGGGTTCCTTGCCCACATTTCTGTCTCTGTTAAAGACATCATTATTTTCTTAATGACCAAGCTGGATAATTTAATAGTTTGAAGTTATCACTCATCCTCACTTACTAAGCCCAAACTCTGTCCTTTTAGGAACCTAGCATTGAGGGAGGAAGTAAACCCCATGAGCTTTGGATCAATATTGGATCGACAGATGTCATGGTTAGCTCACCCTCACACCCACCTCACACATGAATCTCAAATTTATTTCCTCCTCTCTTTTCCGACTGCCAATACTTCAGCTTAGCCCCACTGTAGCTCTGTTTGAACTATTGTCATCATGTCTAACTGACCCATGGCCCCCAGTTCTTTTTTCTTGCTATCACTTGTGAAGATCAGATTAAAGCACTTTTCAAACTGTAAATAGGCACGTGTCAGTCATGACCTTGAACATGTTTGCAGGACTCTTTCTCTAAAGCAGCGGTTCTCAACCTGTGGGTTGAGACCATCGGAAAACAGATATAGCATATCAGATATTTACATTATGATTCATAACTAGAAAAATTACAGTTATGAAATAGCAATGAAAATAATTTTATGGTTAGGGGTCACCACAACATGAGGAACTGTATTAAAGGGTCGCGGCATTAGGAAGGTTGAGAACCACTGCAGCCACTCATGGTTCTTACCTGTGAGATCTTCTGACCTGGGCTGCCATAATCTAGGGCAGTGGTCGGCAAACTGCGGCTCGTGAGCCACATGTGGCTCTTTGGCCCCTTGAGTGTGGCTCTTCCTAAGCCTTAGGAGTACCCTAATTAAGTTAATAACAATGTACCTACCTATATAGTTTAAGTTTAAAAAATTTGGCTCTCAAAAGAAATTTCAATCGTTGTACTGTTGATAATTGGCTCTGTTGACTAATGAGTTTGCCGACCACTGGTAGGTCTTCCTCCCAGAGACTGGGTTTGTCCCTTCTCTGAATCTGCATGCAGCGTATGTACTATAATGCTTGTTGATGAGTTTGCCCCTCTCCTTAACAGCTTGGGGGCAGGAATCATGTTTTCTTCATCTTTGCCTCTCCCTCGCTCCCCCTACCCTTAGACCAGCATGTGCCCGGTACAAAAGAGACAAGCAACCTGTATCTACCATGTATGAATCAACCAAATACCCTGGTTGCTGCTGTTCCCTCTACAGGAGTTGTCCTTCCCTGCTAATCTTCACCTGTCGAATCCTTACTAGCTAGCAAAATACCCTCTCACACTTTAATACCTTGCTACTTCAAGCGCAGTCTTTGGACCAGCAGCATTGGCCTCCCCGGGGAGCTGTTAGTTGCAGGTTCAAACTTTGGAAAAGAGCCCGGCCAGTGTGGCTCAGTGATTGAGCATCGACCCATGAACCAGAAGGTTGCTGGTTTGATCCCCGGTCAGGGCATATGCCTGGGTTGCGGGCTCAGTGACCATTAGGGGGCATGCAGGAGGCAGCCAGTCAATGCTTCCCTCTCATCCATATTTCTATCTCTCCCTCTCCCTTCCTCTCTCTCTCAAAACCAATAAAAACATATTTTTAAAAATCTTTGGAAAAGAGCTGACTACATCTTTATTTCTGAACACAGGTGCTCGCAACGGGGCTCAGTGGTCTCTACTCTTCCCTGCCTACGAAGCTGGAAGAGAAAGGCGAGGAGTGGCACTGCCTCCTGAAAGACGACTGGCTCCTCCTCCCCTCCCTCGTACAGTTCATGAACTCCCTGGAGTTTTGCAACGCCGTCATACAGGTACTGAGTGCAATGCAGGGACCCTTGGTTAGGATCCATTCAGAGTATAAGCATGGTAAAGGAGTAGTATATAAATAGTCCTTTTTTTTATTTTAATGTTTATGGAATATTGATGTTTTACTCGAAGCATACTAAGTATTCTTGAATGAGTGAAAATGTTAGTTTATGGGGTTTCTGGGAAGTTTTAATTGAGAAAAAGTAAGTAGATATTCTTTTCTTCCTTATAAAAAATGCTAATTATGTTTTGATTATCCACTTAACCATCAAAAATAAGTTCAATGCCTGACTCATTTAATAGATATTTTTAGGCTTCTAAGTACTCCAAATTATACCACTTTTATTTCAAGGTCTTTTGGGGAGTCTACAAAGGAAAACACTTTGTTGTGCTTAATGGTGCATACTACATAAAGAATATTGTTATCCCAATTGAATTTAGAAGAACTTAAGCATCTTCTTAGCAACACAAATTACATTTGCTTTGAAATTGGCCTGCTTTGGGGGGGAAAAATGCCACTGAACTCTACTATACTTGGCTTCTTGATTAGATTTTTATTTTCAGATTTTTTTTGTTACTGTTTTGAATAAAAATTAGATTTTATAAACATCTAAGGATGTAGTAGGTTTTCATAAAAAATGTTTTATTTCTGTATAGCATAAGCATCACCTCAATATTGGATTTATTAAGAAATCAAATTTTCTTTATGGTGATTGTGAGGTGAAAAATGTTAGTTATAATCTGTTTATCTACCAAATAAAGAAATAGCTTCTGGAAAGAAATGCAGTAAATCACTTTGGTTCCCATCTCATTTTTATTGCTAAGTCAAAGGAAGTTTTATTTATATATAAGATAAGTGGATTACATCTTAAGTTATTTTTTTTCTTTAATATTACAGTCTATCAACATTTTCCTGCAGAAGTGTGTGGACATAAAAGAGATGGAACTGTTAGTTTCTCCCCAAATGTACACAGAGATTATTAGTAATTTAAAGATCTAGCCTCACTTCCCTAGAAAATGCCTTTTATTTGATTTGATTTGATTGTATGTCTTTTTAAGAAAGAGAATTAAAGCTAACAGGCATGGTTTAGAACCGAGAAGTGATATATTTCATTCAATATTTTGAGGCCATATACTTTTAAGATTTTGTTTGTTTGTTTGGGGGTGCTATTGAAAAGATTACTTGTAAAAGAGGCTAACCAAAGAACTTGTATGCATATATGCATAACCCATGGACACAGACAATAGTTGCAGTGAAGGCCTGGGGAGGTGGGGGGCGGGTATGGGGTGGAGAGGTTAATGGGGGGTAAAGGGGGAACATCTGTAGTACTTTCAACAATAAAGATAAATTTAAAGATATTAGTGGGGGTTATCCATACAATATATATTTTGTAAATTAAATATAGAAAGACTTGTGCCTCTGATAATGTTTTCTGCTTTTGAATAGGATCTAATTTTTATGAACAGAATTTCTAAATGCCTTCCTCCTTAATAAAATGAGTAGCAGAAAATGCACCTCTAAAATGAGAAATTCTTTTCTACCAGCAAAATAAATGTATTTAATTGTCCATTTTGACAGTTGTATTCTTTTTTAAAATTAGTCACAAATTGAGATGGGACATAGATGAAATTATGGGGTAAAATTATACTTTCTAGTTTGTGAATTTTATGATATGACTCTGTATACATCTTCAGTCTATTTTTTTCAAATAGAAACTTAAAACTATCAGCTTCTCTCTCTCTCTCTTTTTTTTTTTGAAAGTCCAAACTATTTATACTGGAATAAACCATCTGGAAAAATTCCATGGTGGTTTGAAGTCTGAATTATTTTTTAAACATGAAATAAATGGCCAAAATTTGGATTTCTATTTTGAATTCAGGATGTACACAGAAATGTTTGATTTTTAAGAAGACCTAAAAATTGAATTCTTTGTAATTTTTATAACTACTTATTTCTCTCTTAGGTGGCTCATCCTTTGATCCGTAACCAGCTTGTAAATTATATTTACAATGGGTTCTTGGTACCAGTCTTGGCTCCTGCTCTCCACAAGGTCAGTGACTGGCTGATGTAATATTTTATCTGTTTGTAGTACAACTTATGGAAACTGAGAGAGGCCAACATGGTGTAACTGACCCGATGGTGACTTCACCCTTATTTCTCGTACCAGCTATATTCCTTAGCCATATCAAACAGGCCTTAACAATGGTGACAGCTTTAAGTCCGATGGGCTCCATTTATTGTCATAGAATACGGCATTTTGAATGTCAAGTAAGATAGTCTAAACCAGGATTGGCAACTAGACTGACTCTTGTGCTTGCTGAGGTCATGGATGGTGGCTACTTGGAACTTCCTGTTAAGCCGTCCTGTAAGGCTACATCTGTCACAGGGGGAGCAAGGTTTACTATGGCTGTAAAGAGGGGTGTGGTAGCAAAAGTCCCATGGATTTGCCATATTTAGGACATAATTTTTTATTATAAAAATTTTGAGACAGCAAAAAATTAGAGTGAAGCCAAGTTAAGGTCTCATCAAAGGTTGGCTGTCTCATTCGCACCAGTCTGAATTCACTATGATGCTCTCATTTTGTGTAATAAGTCAGCTTACTCCATTGTGAGCTGTCAGGAGACACCCATGGACCTAGAATTCTAATTTTAAGTTCTTGATTCACCAAGTAAAGAAACATATACAATATTTAGTTCAAGAGGATCTTTGTCAAGTTGTTGTAATTGCCAGCCTTGGTCAGGAGAGAAGCAGGAAGTACTTATCACATGCATTTAGATGGAATGCCCGTTTTTCTGCACCTGGAAATTCCATTTCCATGAGCTCTCATTTTATAGAATCTGAGATTACATTATTATGGCAACTTTGAAGCCTGGCTGTATATGCTGATGGGAGGAGCAGGTCTCCACAGCAATCCCCAGATTTCCAAAGTATTTTATTTTGAGCAGATGCTACCTTCAAGGCAATTCCATACCACAGATACCATGGTTAGTATTACAGCTCCAGCAAGCCTTTCTGCATGCTCATCTCATGGAGCAGCAGGTCTTGGTGGAAGATGTTCATGTCTTGCCACTTAGTGCCTTTTGAGCACAGTGGCAATGTTTTCCAAACAGACAGGGTATTTGCTCTGAATAGGACTTGTGTGTTACTTCTAGGCTCAAGAGGGACTCTTGGGTACGGTTTGAATATAAAAGTATTGAGATTTCCAGTTTACTTTAGTGGTTTGTGGGCACAAAGGGCCCACGTCTTTAAAATTAAAAATGCTTGTAAAATATGGAACATATCCTTGGAAAATACACCCCTTGTATTTGTTTCCAGGTTGCCTTTCTGTTAGTATCTTGCTATTCTGGGGTTGGGTGGGTGTCTTGAAGTGGAGGTCTCCAAGCCTCTGCATGAAGGAACCCAGCAGAGCTGGTGAAATCCTTGGCAGTAATGATCCCTGTACTCCCCCGCACATTTAGACTTAGTTCCACATTTATTCCCATCCTTTCCCCCATTGACCAGTTAACCTAAAATAATTTCTTATCATTGCCATAATAGCTGTAATTAGAAAAATATTATTTGCTCAGTATATTTTATGGTATTCTAATTAACCTACCTTAATTTTACAAATATTAATGTTAACTCTCTATCCCTAATTGAGGATGACATCCACCTCAGAGAGCTGTCATGAAGCTCTGATGGGTCACAGTGCTCCCCTTCATAGCACTCACCACAAGTGGAATCGAATCATTAAATGTGCAATAACTTGCTGAATAGCCTGTGTCCACAATGGTGCACCTGCTTCTTGGGGTAGGGTTCACACTTCTTTTGTTCACTGGGGTATCTCCAGTGCCAAGCTCAGTCCCTTAGATTTAGAGGTTGAATAAACAGCACACAATGGAATGATGTTTGTCAGAGGGCCAAGCAGAGTGTTTGCACTTGGTACATCTCCCGAGAGTGGCTCATAGAGAATAATAATAGCACCTTACATATATTAACAAAGATTGTTCTCAGTAATTCCCATAATTAAATGAAAAATTTTAATCATGAAGTGATTTTAATACATGCTTATTGTGGAAAAATACAGTCAATACTAAGTATATAAAATGCAAAGTGAATGTTACCATATTAGATTTACAATCCCTAATTAAGATTCCTTAACTTTTATCCATCGCGGACCACTTCTCCCAGGACTATTGAGCTACTAGAAAGAATATTTCCTCCTTAATTTATTTTTCATCCTGCTCGTCATCTTTTTATTTTGTTTGTGGTTAACAGCCTTTCCTCTGGCTCTTGGTTTCCGAAATGGTTGATGAAGAAAAGAGCCTTTTATGAATATCAGGACAGAGGCCAAAAACAGTTGGGGAAAAATGTCCAGGATTGGGTGTTTCTTGAGAAGTTCCCTGTGGGAACAGTCCCATGCTGTGTCCTCTCCTTTGATGTGGAAGAGATGCTGGGCATCTCAAGTCTACTGCAGGGGTTCCTGTCCACGGTTTTCGCCTTCTGGGTCTCTTGCCCTGACAGAAGAGCCTTATTTAATGCCCTAAGTAAATTTCTCTGTGAACTATCTCAGCCCCCAGTTTATGCAAAACATTCTAGTTACCTGCCATCAGCGTAGGCAGTTTGTAGAGGTGAATTTAGTCTCTCTCTCATAAGTAATATAAATAAATTCATACTTAAAAACGTTACCACATCACAATCAATACTCACAAAGAGTGTCTCCACAGCATCGCTCAACAAGAGCTGAAGTTATTACAGAGGGTTGTGGGTGGGAAAAGGAGGGGAGGGCAGAAGTGGCAAGTGGAGATGGTCTCCACCTTTCCTCTTCCCACTCTATGTATAAGGTCACACCTCCAGTGCAGGCTGTCCTGCTCCATGCTTCCTTCATGCAGTGCTGTGGGGCAGCCAGTTGTTCTCCTGTGTTAGTATAGAGGTGAGGCTAGTTTCTTTATAGGGCTGCACAGTTTTCTGTAGTGTGGATACACAGGTCTGCAATCCTGTATTCACAACTCAAAAATGCAAACATCTCTGAAAACGGAGTTTTTAAAATAATTGTCTTTGATGGCAAACCCATACCTAAACTGTCTCAAGGCTGTTTTTTTTTTTTTTTTTTAAATCTCACTTGAGTTAATATTTGTGTGTTATATGAAAGGAAAAAAAAATAATGTATTTGATTGTAGAGTTCTGCTCCAGATCTGCTGGGTTACATCAAATATGGCTGTTGTAATATTACTTTTCTAATATATGAAATTTTGAATTCCAAAATGCATGGTCTCCAGGGTTTTGGATAAGAGATTGGAAGCCTATTTTGGACATTTAGGGAGGGATACATTTTGGAGAAAGGTTAAATCACACTTTGTAAAAGTCACATTAAAGAAAATGATATCATGTCAATGTAGGTCATTTAGGAGTTGGATCTAACCATAGCCATGGACATCATGTAAAATTGTGACTTTAGATTAATGGAACAGCCCCCATCCAGCAAGAGCTAGCTCTGTCTCTGTATGTTTAATTGATCAAAGCTAAGTTTTCAAGGCTGAATATTCACCGACATAGTTGTATTAGTCTGTGTTCTCAGTGGAGTGGATGCCAAGATAGGTTCAATGTGCAAGGATTTTGCTAGGGGAAATGTTGGCGAGAGAGAAAATGGGGAGCAAGGTGGGGGAAGGCTGGGGGAGTTGTCAGGCTGCAATGCAAATCTGACCCCAAATGCAGGAGAGGGGGTAAGATTGAATGGGAGTGTTGCAGGCTGCCGGGAGGAGACCTGTGTTTCCCAGGGACAGGTCTGCCAAGCATCCCCACTGCACTGTCATTGGCTGTGAGAAGCCTGTGGGAGGTGTGGGAAGAGTTCAGTGTAGCCACGGGGCCCTTGGTCACTTATGCTCCCTGTAGTTAGAGGTCTAGGTGGTGGATTCCCATGGCCACTGCGTTTCCACATGGTTGATTTCCATGGTGTTCCTGGTTGTAGCTGTCAAAAAGATAGACATATATGTTTGCTTAATTTACAGACCTCCTCTTTTTGTGTGTGAAACATTCCAGAGTTCAAATGCTCTCTCATACATGTGGTCGTTTTGGTCAGGATTAGCTTGAGAAAAGAACTTACTATGTCAGTCACCATGATTATGCTTCAGTCACAAATAACACCATCTATTTATGTTTTTGTTCGCATGACATGTCCACCTTGGGGTGTGGAATGAGCAGCTTGTCGGTAGCTTTTCTCCATGTTATCCTCAGCCAGGGCCCAGGTTGATAGATCTTCAACATCTGATATCTCTGGCCATAATGTCTGAGGGGAGACCATAGTGAATGGCCCGCTGGCTTTTGAAGCTCTTGTGTGGAAGTGACACACGTCGTTTCTGTTCTCATTTCATTCTCTGAAGCAAAGAAAATCACATCTGACCTCAGAGGGGAGTGCAGTTTCATTTTCTCAAAAAGAAAAGTCTAGAATGTGATCATCAGCCCTAATGACTTTTGTCAGATGGCACCCACTGGGTAGTGAGGAGAGTCTATAGGAGTATGATGTTTCAATGATCGATTGCTGTGTGATAAGCTGCCCCCAAACTTAAAGACTTAATCATTTATCATTAGTATAAAGTACAAGTCTCTGGTTCAGGAATTAGGGCAGGGCACAGTGGGGACAGCTCGTTTCTGTTCCATGATGTCTGGGGCCTGAATAGCTTGGAGCTGGATGGATCTCTGTCTCTCTGCCTCTTTCCCTCTTTCCACAGAGCCTCTCCCTGGGCCATGTTGGGCTTTCTCACAGCATGGCAGCCTCAGGTAGTTGAATTTCTTATATGTGGGATGAGGGCTCCAAGAGACAGGAAATACAAGGAGCCAGTCTGGAAACTGAAACAGTGCTGCTTCTGTCATATTTTACTGTTCATAGTAGTCACAGAGCCCGCCCATTTTATAGGGGAGAGGACATAAACCTCCCACCTCCTGATGACAGGAATATCAAAGAATTTGTGCCCAAGTTCTGGGTAGGTTTACCCTGGTTACCACCCCTACAGTTGAATATGTTTATTAAGGGGCAGAGAAGTATATAGAAAGGGCCACCTGATAAGAACCATG